TTATGTAGAAGAGGGAGGCAGCAAGCTTTTTCTATAAAGGGCCATGTGTTGGGATCAGCCCAGTTTCCATGATTCACTAGGACTCACAGGACCCAGCATGTAGCTGTACTCATGGCTACGATTGATTACAGTGAAAGGACACAGAGCAAAGTCAGTGTGGCGCAGTGAATTACTAAATGTGCCCCTTCTACCCATAGTCTTTGTGACTCCCACACAGTGATTGGGTGGAACCATGCAAATAAGGTGTATGAAACCCTAGCAAGGTGCGGTGGTTGGTGGTGTGTTGGCTTGGCCATGGCAGCCATGATTCCCAGTACTGAGTGGCTGTTCTCCGTTTTGTGATCTGACGTAATTATCCTAATTATCCTCCATTTTATGTGTTGTAAATCCTGACCTCTATACGTTAATGGGAGCCCTGGTGGCGTAGTGGTTAAGAGCTTGGTTGCTAAATAAAGGTCCGCAGTTCAAACCCACCAGCCGCTCCTTGGAAACCCTATGGGGCAGTTCTACACTGCCCTGTACGGTTGCTATGAGTCAGAACCAGCTCGATGGCACCTAACAATAACAACATATGTTAATGAGGCTGGATTACTGTGGGATATATCTTGAGTCACAGCCTTGCAGGAAGGTGGGACTCAAAACCCACCCTCAACCAAGTCATGCCCTTCCCTGGGCTGTGGCCTGCATCCAATGTATAGATGTGGGTGCTCTGGTAGGGGCTCCTCTGCATCTGGATTCTGCATTCAGCTCGTCATTGTCTGATCTCTGGTTCTTGGACTTGAGCCAGTGGCCTGCTGTCTGATTCTGGGATTCACGAGCTTCCACAACCCCATGGGCCAGCAGCCCATCATCTGACCTGAATCGTCAGCTTCCACAGCCTTGTGAGCCAGCAGTCTGTCATCTGGCCTGCTGATTGGGGTTCATCAACCCCTGCAGCCACATGAGTCAGGAGAAGCCTATGCCTGACCCATGGATTTGGGACTTGCCAGCCTCCACAATCCCATGAGCCACTTCCTTGATATAGTTCGTGAGTTCAGAGATGTTGCAGCAAATTATGGAAACCAAAAACAGGAGAGAGAGAGTACTGAGGGGAGGACAAGTAGTTGGTGTTAGAGATGACAGAGTGGTACAGCAGTTTGGAAAAGTTGGATGTTTGGGACATCTTTAACCTCTGCCTCATAGGGACCAGCTTTGTGCTGGTCCTTATAACATAAATTATTTATTTAGTCAGTGTGATGATTAAGATTGTGTGTTAACTTGGCTGGGCCATAATTCTCAGTGTTTATATGTGATCACTCCCATGATTGAATCTGCTGTGAGTAGCCAACCAGATGAAAGAGAGTTTCCTTGGAGGTGTTGCCTGCATCTGAACATGAGCAGACGTTCTGGCTTTTTGCTCGCTCTGGATCCTGCGGCTGCCTCCTGTTCATCTGACCTCCAGTTCTTGGGACTTGAGCTAGCAGCTTACCTGTCGATCTTGGGATTCATCAATCTTCACAGTCTGTGAGCAAGAGTCCTGCTCCCCAACCTGCTGATTTTGGGTTCACCAGCCCCTACAGCTATGTGAATCAGGAGAAACCTTGTGGTCTTGCCTGTTGATCTTGGAACTTTTCGACCTTCACAGCCTGTGAGCGGGAGCCCTGCTCTCCGACCTGCCGATCTTGGGCTCGCCAGCTTCTGCGGCTGTGTCAATTGGGAGAGGCCTCTACCCTGATCCATGGACTTGGGACGTTCTAGCCTCTACAATTGCGTGAGCTGTTTCCTTGATATAAATCTATATATATATACATTTATATGCTTTACTGGTTTTGCTTCTCTAGAGAACCCAGCTTAAGACAGTCAGCAAAGGGCAAAGGCACACCAGATGAAGCCTGGGGGATACCAGGCACAAGCTTCCAGAGTCCTCTCCCAGTGGAGTCACACAGGACACACTGAATTCCTGCAGCAATGAGTTGTGACAACATGTGTGAAATAGTGCCGACAGGGAAGTTCATGAGAGACTCAGTGCCCAGGGTTTTCACTGGGGGCTGGTCACGTAGGCACCCTGTGCCTGGCACGTACCAAAATTCCAGACTCGCAGAAGGAAAGCAGGTGTTCAGCATAAACCACCCCGTTGGTACACACAGCTGGTAAGTTAATAAATGCTTACTTGTTTAAACGCTTTGTCTTTCTTTCTCCTCTTACTCAATGGATTTCTCTGGCTAGAATTTAATTAGCAACACCTTCTGATGATGAAATTTTTGCATGATGAAAACACACTCAATGGACTGGCACAGGGAACAAGCCTATGAATCATTTATCTAGAGTGTTCAACGCAGAAGAGGCACAACAAACGAACAACCAAAAAAAAACCCAAAAAACTGGATTGTCTTGCTCGGGCACAAAGGATGACGAGACAAGGCAAAAAGAAACCGGGGCATCCGCTTCATCGGCAAAAACCAGAGATTTCACAAATGAGATCTCCAAAATAGTTTACATTTAGAATTCTGAATACAAATTTCAAATTTAAATGATATTCGAGAGTCCTCGAGGTGGGCCTGGGGAGACGGGATATTTGATCTTTTCTCTCGTCTTCAGTAAGATGGAAGACTGTTGAGTTGGAGGTAAACGTCAGTATTTTCCAGCGCCTCTGGATAGAAAAAATAATACTAATAACAGCCAAGATTTATATTAGTATACTCATAATAGACAGTAATAGTACTAACAGCTCACCCCAGAGTTCGGACGCTGCTCAAGCATTTTACACTGATTAGCTCATTTAGTCCTTAAAAAACCCTTGGAATTAAGTTATTAGTTGTCCCCAGAGAGCAGCATAGAGAGGTTCAGCAATTAGTCCAAAGCCACACAGCTGGTAAGAGGCGAGGCTCTTACCCTCCATTGCACCAGCTTAAAAACATCAAGACCTGCAGCAACAAGGCAGCTTGGACTTCATTAAGCAGGCGTGAAAGACTAAATACGCAAACACACAACAGCGGACCGTACATGACCGGAGAACTCTGATCCATGACCTTGGCAGCCCAAAATGGTCCGGATCGGTCAGTGACTGCCAGCTCCCTATTTCTGCTGTCCCCACTTCCAACTCAGGATCAACCAAACCGAAATAAAACCAAACCCATTGCTGTCAAGTCGATTCCAACTCATACCGACTCTACAAGACAGAGTAGAACTGCCCCATAGGGTTTCCAGTGAGCGGCTGGTGGATTTGAACTGCCGACCGTTTGATTATCAGCCAAGCTCTTAACCACTGCACCGGCAGAGCTCCAGAATCAACCAGAGAAAGCCAAACATGGGCCCAACCACACAGGACACTCCATTCGCTTCGTTTGTCCACCTCTAGCTTTCCCACACCAACTACCTCCATCAGGGTACACCTAAGCCTCCTCTTCTTTCCTCTACTGTGTAAAGTTTCCCCACGCCCCCGCCTGCCTCTGAGTCTTTGCCAAACTCAAGCGATGGTGACTGACTTCCTTGCTACAGCAACTCTGAATACATAGCCGGCTTGTTCCCATTCGGGAGGTGTCTTTACTCATTTCCACAGGTGTCACCTCCTGTTTGTAAACTCTGGGCACCTGCAGACCCACTCAGACACAAGGTGGCATCTTTAGGTCAAAACTTCTGCAAGACAAGGAGCCAAATCTGGCAACTGCAGGATGGGAAAAAGCAACAGAATGGCCTTCCTTTCCCTCCTTACAAAGCCTTTATTATTTTCTCTACTTAGAGCAGTTTTCCATTTGTGCGGGGTCAAATCGGTCATTCATTCAGCAGTCATTCGAGCATCTCCCTCCTCTGCCCCGGGACTCTAACCCCTCCCGAAGTTCCAGGTAGGGCTCTGCCCTGACAGGTAGACAAAGGCCCATCGCCCACACACACCTGTTCATGCCCTGAGGCCCTGCCTGGCCCCTGAGAGGCAGAACCGTCATGGGAGCTGCCCAGTTCCCAGTGAGGTGCCGGGCATAAAGGCGTAGCCCTGGAGGAGGCACGGAGGGGAGAGTTTGGGACTTTCCTAAAGGCCGTCATGTCGCAAGGCTCCTAACACAAGCCTCATCCCCGCCCCAAACAAGGAGAGGGACCCATCCCTTCTCCAGCTGGTTGAGTCTAATCTAAATGCTTAATCCCAATCCTGCCAGAACGAAGCCCTTTTCTGGTGCGCCCTGAGCTGCCTCATGTCCCCCACCCAGCCATCTCCTAAACCTCAGGGGACCCCTTTGCGCCTCCTGTCCATCCACTTGCGTCTTTGCTCTGTGTGTCCCCGCGTGCTGGCCCTCGAGGAGCCGGTCTGTTTGCAATGTCCACCGCGGCCGACACATGGGGTGGGCACAGGGGGGCCACTGGGTCAGGCCTTGCAAACGGAGGGCCCCAACCGGGCGGGGTAAGGGGGGACGCTGGGGCCGCAGGCGGGCCGGTGCCTCACGACCCTCGCCGGGGAGCAGCCCTCAGGCAGCCCCGTCCCCGGTTCCTCCAGGCTCCCTCAGCCCTTGGCAGCTCTCAGGGCTGTCTTCCCGGATCTTCTCGGTCATCCCAGAGCCCGCCGCTCACCCCGGCACGCACCGGGCTCAGGGTCAGGAGTCTCCAGGCTCCGGGAAGGTCCCCTCCACCCCCTGCCTCGGCCGCCACCCGGGGGGGGGGCCGACACCAAACCCCAAGTCGGGGGGACGCTCCCCTACAGAACGCGGGGCCCTTCGTCTGCAGACTGCGCCCGCAGGGGCGAGGCCGCCAAGCTCCTCTCCGTGCGCCCCTCTCATGCGCCCCAGTTCCTGACCGGCGGTAGCGACCTGGCAACCAAGCCCCCCGCCGTGCGCCTTGGTTCTGTCCGAGCCGCACGTGACACTAATCCCTGCGCGTCATGTGACCGCCGCCTACTTCTGGCCCGGAAGGTGGCAGCGCCGTGACCGCCGCCTACTTCTGGCCCGGAGGGTGGCAGCGCCGTGACCGCCGCCTACTGCTGGCCCGGAGGGTGGCAGCACCGTGACCGCCGCCTACTTCTGGCCCGGAGGGTGCCACCCAGCCCCGTGACCGCCGCCTACTTATAGCCCGGAAGGTGGCAGCGCTGTGTCCGTTCTGTCCGGCCCGCGGTATCCACCCGCTGTCTGCTCCGCGCCGATCGTCCCCAAGCTCGCTGCCGAGATGCTGTGTGGAGGGCCCTCTGCCACGAGGCCGGCCACCGCCGAGACCCAGGAGATCGCCGACCAGGTGAGGCCTGAGCCCCCGGCGACCCGGGAGCCAGGCCCTCCCCACCCTCGCTCGGAGAGGTCCCGGGTTTTGCTGATGGGGGCTGAGAGGGCGACTAACGGGGTGTACCTACTCCGAACATCATTCCAGACAGTCAGGGGCACACAAGCCCTCCCTAAAGGAGGACGCAGGAAGGGGGTCAGGGGACAGCGCGGAGTTTGCCTAGAAGTTCCGACTGCGATCGAGGCCGGAACCGGCGCGTTCGGCCGAGATGGTCCTTTCTGAAAAGCTGAGCAAAGGAGAGAAATGGGGAAGGGAAAAGGGAAGTGTTATGGGGAGGGTGCTCAAATTTATCTTCCCTGAATTACTTGGGGGGAACCAGCTCTAGGGACAGGAGGCTTCTCCGGGCACAGGCTGGACTGCAGCGAGAGCAAAGCTTGGCTGAAATCCTCAGCATCTGCTTGATTCTGCCATGCCTTTGTTTACTCGTGTGTAAAATGGGTCTAGCAGCAGCAGAGTCTGCCTCCAGATGTTGTGGTGAGGGTTAAATGAGTTGAGATGTATGAAGCTCTTAGTAAAAAAAACAAAAAACCAAACCCATTGCTGCCGAGTCGATTCCGACTCATAGCGACCCTATAGGACAGAGGAGAACTGCCCCATAGAGTTTCCAAGGAGCATCTGCTGGCTTATGAACTGCTGACCTTTTGGTTAGCAGCTGTAGCTCTTCACCACTACGCCACCAGGGTTTCCAAAGCACTTAGTATTACCCTTAAATCAGGTCTGCTCTATTTGCCATGCTATGTTAACAAAATTGATTCTTTCCACGCGCTGCTCAGTAAACCAAGAAACGTTCAGAGCACATCAAAGCGCCCAAGGAAGGGTAAACCAACTTCTTCCTCCTTTAACTTCCCTCCCCTGCACTGCTTCTTCATAAATTTTCTGGCATGTGGTCAGCCCAGCCCATGCTGTAGTTGCTCGGGTGGTTTTGACCCTCTGACAGCAAAGGGAACTGAGTCAGACCCATGAGACCTTTGAAAATAAGGGATTCGTCCACAACGCACAGGCAGGTGTGTGTAGCCACACCCGGCGGAGTATTTTTCACTCTTCCTCATAGCCAGTCCTCTAGCCTAGCTCTTCCTGACCAGCGTCCTCCCTTTCCAGGCTTAATAAACTTCTCATCCGTCACCGTCTTGCCAAGCAGCACACACTCTGAGTATGTGTAAGTTCTCGATGCAGCCAGGATAGAAGAGTTGCTGTCTCAAAGCAAACAACCAGCCGGTTGCTACTGAGTGGACGCCAACTCACGGAGACCCCACGTGCGTCCGAGGGGAACTGTGCTCCGTAGGGTTTTCAATGGCTGGGTTTTCTTCTGAGGCGCTTCTGGGTGGACTTGAACTGCCAACGTTTTGGTTAGCAGCCACTGGTGTTAACCGTTTGCACCACCCAGGGGCTTCTGCTGGCTCCTAGCGACCCTATGGGACAGAGTAGAGCTGCCCCATAGGGTTTCCAAGGCTGTAATCTTTACAGAAGCAGGCTGCCACATCTTTCTCCTGCGGAACGGCTGGTGGGTTCGAACTGCCAACTTTTGGTTAACAACCAGGGCTCCCTGCTGTCTCAAAACTTATTGAAACCCGTTGCCATCGAGTCAATTCTGACTCATAAGGACCCTATAGGACAGAGTAGAACTGCCCCATAGGGTTTCCAGGGAGCGGCTGGTGGATTTGAACTGCCAACCGTATGGTTAGCAGCTGAGCTGTTAACCACTGGGCCACCGGGCCTATTGCTATCTCAAAGGGGATCCTTAATTTGGTGTCTGTCACATAAAAGTGAGGTGTAAGTGGGCAGTAGTCATTGCTGTTGGGAGAAATTTCCGGGCAGGTATTACGGAAGTAATAGGAGAAGGTGGGGAGGAGAGAGGTGGGAGCATGTACCCAGCACGGGCCTTGTGCCCGACTTTATTGAATCCTTTCAGGAGCACTCAGTGTGAGTGTTACTGTCTCCCACCTGCAGATGGGGAGGGTGGAGGTCAGAGGAGCAGAGACCCACCAACTCTGAACTACCTCAGAGAGCAAACATCTTTAACAAGCGCATTGCCCTTGAGTCCCTGGGCCTCTTCCTGTGCCTCTGCCCCTCCCCACCCCTCCCCTGAGGGCTGTTACCAGCTTCCTCATTGACCCTCCATGCCTTCTACCACTCGCTTTTGCTGACTGGGAGCTGTCACCTCCCAGGCAGTGGCCAGCCGGGCACTCAGGGCCTCCACGTTCCTGCCTTCCAGCGTGCACCCCTCTTCCACCAGGTTCACTGTCGGTTCAAACAGGCAAAGAAAGAGGTGATCCCTCTTCTATCAGCCCTCCTGCCCCCCCGGGCCAGGGCGTTGGTGGTGCTCATCTGGGTGTTATTTGCCTGGGTGAGAACCACCGCTCCCTGCCGGCCTAGCCCAGTGCCTCACACAAAGGAGGTTGCTGTGGTGATGTGGTCAGGCTTTTGTTCAAGTGGTGACTCGGTTGCACGTAATACCAGGTGACTGCTCTTCTTTCCCATCTAACACTGTCCTTTCCAGCTTTTGCCTTTAAAACACTAATCCTCTAGTGACTAGTTACTTCACTCCTGTGCGAATCCGTGTACTGAGTGCCAGCAGTTAATCTAGACAGCAGCCAGGGCGTCTTTCAACTCAGTTAGATTCAAAACAAATTTTCTCTTTTCCTCTCCCATAAAGCTGCTCATTTGTTAAAAAAACAAGGACTCTGGAAAACAGAATTGAACCGAAGTACGTTACTGTTTTATACTTGGGTTAGGATCAGCCTTTGCCCAATGGCGCTGTAGCCTGAAGAAAAATCTGAAAGTGCTGGGAAAGCACCTTTCACCTGCAAAGTCATTGCTGGATCACTTACAACGCCACAAATTAGAAACAGCCTAAATGCCCACAGTAGGGATCATGGTTAATTAAGGCATACCCGTGACATGGGAGATTAGCCTTTATAAGTTCTATATAGCCTTTCAAATGAATTGTTTACAGCAGGTTAAGTGAAACAGACAAACCCCAGAAACCCAGGGTGTAAACTTGGCTACACCGTTGTAATGATAAAAATACAAAAACACGCCACTCCTAGAAAAGAAAGGGCAAATGATGTTCCAGAAAACTATCATCGAAGCTTTGGTAGAATTAATAAGAAACTTACACCTTTTTTTTTTTTTTTTTTTGGTACTTTATCACTAGAGCTGACGGTTATAAAGAAGAGTCGCGGGTGTAGAATATACGTAAAGGGTTTGACGTCAGGGATCAGTTTATAAAATTTAACACGAGAAATGAGCTCTGGGTGCGTATATACGTCCCTCCAGCAGAAGGGCAGCCGCAGAATGTTTCCGTTCTGTTCACCTCCCCTAGGTAAAGCCCCAGGTAGAAGAGAAAGAAAAGAAGAAGTTCCCCGTGTTTAAGGCTGTGGAGTTCAAGAGTCAGGTGGTCGCCGGGACAAACTACTTTATCAAGGTGGAGTGTCTTTATCGGGGGGCAGGGGGCGTGTCTGACTTGAAGTGGGTGCTTATTGGGGAGCAGTTTGGGAGACCCGGGGTGGCATGATCAGAGAGGTGCTTAGTGGGGGTCCTGTGGCAGCTCCAGGCTTCAGGGGGGTCATGGGTCCCTAAAGTGAATGTTTGCATGCTGAGGAGAAAGACTGGGTCTCTGAGGGTGAGCTGAGGACACCGGGCTGTGGTCACAGGCATCTGCCCTGCAGGGAGGCGGTCCATGGTGGTTGTCCTGAGGCCAGGGGGTTGCAGAGGACAGGACGGAGTGGCTTCCACGCGGTCCAGGGCAGTGCCCCCTCGCCTTCCCTGCCTGCCCAAGGTGGAGAGAGGAGGGAAGTCGGCCAAGGCTGTGCCTGCCCCCTCACTCCACTGTCTCTCCCCCTCCAGGTTCACGTGGGTGACGAGAACTTCCTGCACCTGCGAGTATTTCAGAGTCTCCCTCACGAACAGAGGCCTCCGGCCTTGGTGGACTACCAGACCGACAAGACGAGGCACGACGAGCTGGTGTACTTTTAATTCCTGGTTTGGAGCAGGTCCCTTTGTCCACGTGACCCGAACATGAAAACGATTCTGTCGTATGTGAGGGTGTACCGGGGACTAGAAAAGAAACATCTCGCCTTTCTGCTGCTTGGGGTGGGAGGGGGCGTCTGCAGCTTCTCTGTGTCTCTGTCCCTAATCGCTCATTGATCCAGTGAACAGTCATTGCTAATCAATAACCGGAACCAAATTCCTTTCAAAGAAGTCAAATACTATCTTTAAATACATCTTTTATAGTCTTTGCCAACTTCCGCCTTTGTTGGGTGTTCTGTCTTCATCCTAAACTGTGCTCACGGCCCGACTGTCACTGGGGAGCGGTGGTGTCCCCCCAGGCTGCTCCATGGCAGCAGGTCACCGTCAAGTATGCGCCCAGGAGGACTGGCTGCGTGGGGTCACCTCTGTGCGCTGGTGCAGGCCCATCCTCCCCTGCCCCTGGTCTCGGAGCTGGGTGGGTTACAGGACAGTGGGGCAGGCCCAGCCAGGGGTGTCTTGGGGCAAAGGTTGTGGAGACAGACTCGGGCTGAAGGGGGAAGGTCTCCCACTTCCCCTCCAGAACCGTCTCCCTCCCTCCCCACCCTGCTCTGTGCCGGCGCTGACCAATGTGGACAGATCCACGTCCTGCCCTCTGGCTTCCCCGCGGTCTGTGTGTCTGTCCCCAGCCCCTCCTTAGAAGAACCACTTCACTGTTCCTGTCAGGTAGTCCCCCCCACCGCCCCGCGACCCTTCTCCAGGTTCTGCTAACTCACTCACCCCGGATGGGAATGGCCCCCCACTCTTCAAGAGCCTGAGGACTGCCTGATCCCTGACTGTGTCCTTAAACCCTGCCTACACCCTTCTGGATAGTTCCTTTATTAAACTCTCCTCCATAGGTCACCACGGGTCACCAGTTATCGACGTGCTATCTGCTTCCTGCTGGGTTTGGCCGATCGGACGCTAACCAAGGGGCCGCCCTGCCTCCGTCAGTCACAGGCCCTCAGGAGCTCTCGGGGCAGGGACACGCCCTCGGCTCACAGGGTGGGCACTCCGTCCTCCTAAACCCACAGAGGTTTCTCATGAACGCGAGTTCTCCCAAAGCCCAAGGCTGAGGCCGCTCTGCACCTTTGCTCAGACTGAAGGCTGCACCCTGCTGAGGTGGTCCGTACCTGTGGCCGGTGCGCCCCCAGGCAGAGCTAAGGGTGCCCTTAGGGCTCGGGGCGATGCTGCCAGGCCACACCCCACAGCACCTCCGCTGTCTAATTGCTATCAGAATGCAGCCCGCTTTAAATCGGGGTAAAATGACTTAGTTGAGATTAGATTCTCATTCGGCTAGAGATAGGATAATTAGGATAATATATAACCGAATGCAAATTGTGCCAAAAGGGAAAGTTGCAGACTTGGGTAATCTGATGGCTCCGTTACCAGGCACAGCACCCAGGAAGTCCTAGTTGAGCGGCCTGGAGGGGGAGCAGAGTCACGTGTTCTGTGTCCGGGGGGCGGCTCCAGCATCTCAGAGCTTCCCGTTCCTCAAACGCTGTTGTTTCTCCTCGTTGACTCCTTGGAGCGGCTCTGGCACCCTTGCTAAAACATCGAATACTGAGTGTATGAGTCTCCGAGGGCAGCCGTAACGAAGTACCACACGCGGGAGGCTTAAGACAACAGAAATGTATCCTCTCACAGTTCTGGAGGCCAAAGTCCAAAATCAAGGCGTTGGCAGGGCCATGCTTCCTCTGAAGGCTCTGGGGGAGGATCTTTCCTCGTCTGTCACAGCTTCTGGTGCTGCCAGCAATCCTTGATGGTTCTTGGCTTACGGCCCCATCACTCCACTCCCTGTCTCCGTCTTCCCAAGTGTCTTCTGCATTTCTGTCTCTTATACGGACGCTTGTCATTGGGTTTAGGCCCACTTGATCCACTTATGAGCCCATGGACAGGGCTTGGACTGGCACCAGGAGTCCAGAAAGGAGCTGGGGTGACAGGTGAGGCTGGCCAAAGCCATTCTGAGCCTGTGGGAGCCACAAATGGGCCCCATGATGTTGGTGTGAAGGGGATGGGTGTCCCTCCGGCGTGTTTGGGAAGGGTGGCTCCCAGCCTCTCAGTACCTCCTCCCAGCCTTGTGGTATCAGGAAGAAGTCTTCACGCCTCTTCCCTAGGATGCCCCAAAGCTGAGGCTCTCCCCAGGGCTCAGGACACATAGGGGCTGTTGTCCAGAATCCTCAAAGCGTGACCACAGCTCGGGGAGGGAATGCCATCCCTCATTAAGAATCTTACTGGTCAGGTACAGAGGTGCAACGCAGGGACATATGCAAGGTTCCAGGTTCAAAGGTACACAAGGGGGTGCAAAGAAAATGATTCTCCGTCCTGCTGCAATCCACCTACCCGGAGGCACCCCCTTGCCAGTTTCAGGCAACGGCCACCCTCTTTCTACAAGGTCTTGGCTTCTGGTGAATTTCCCCATGAGCGCGCCCCTTGCTCGGCCACTCTGGTTAATCCGACCACCAGGGACTGGACCAAACCCGTTCAGTTTGTTTCACTGTTGTTTTTGCTGCTGTTGAGCCAGCCCCTGACTCACGGTGACCCCATGCACAATGGAACGAAAAGCTGCCTGGTCCTGCGCCATCCCCACGATCGGTTGAAGATTGGACTGCTGTGATCTATAGGGTTTTCGCTGGCCGATTTTTGGAAGTAGATCGCCAGGCCTTTCTTCCTGGTCCATCTTAGACTGAAAGCTCCGCTGACACCTGTTCAGCATCCTAGCAACATACAAGCCTCCAATGACACGTGATGCCTGTGTATGACGTGCACCGGCCGGGAATCAAACCAGGTCTCCTGCGTGGAAGGCGAGAATTCGACCACTGAACCCCCACTGCCCCCATTTGTCCCAGTGTTCAGTCAAGGCCACTGTCAACTGCGTTCCAATAGCAGGAGGAGGCCAACCTGCACGCTGACCTCATCCCTGCCCCCCAGAGCCCAGGGCCCGGCCAGCTGAACACATCCCGGAAACAATCAGCATCCACCTTAGAAGCCAGGGGACTTCCTGCTTCTGCTGCTGTAGTGACCTGTCCACTTGGCCCAAGGTGTTAGGGGCACAGCGGGCGTGTTAGTGACTGCACAGACTTGCTCAGGCCCACAGGAGGAGGCCAGGGAGCTCTGTCATCCCCGATTCCCTGGTGGCTAGTAGAGGCTGACCCAGGTGCCTCCCGGGGCTGAGGTGGTGCCACTGACCCTTCAGCCAAAGTCAGCGGCAGATTTTGTACCACTTTTCCAATGGGAATGACTCCCGTTGTAGAGACAGCTACCTGCAGGTGCACGTAGATAACAAGACAGGTAAGCCTCTGGGGGGTGAGGGGTCCTCATTTGGGAGTGATCTCCACGGTTATCTGAGAGCTATGCGATCTGGTGGACATGGTTCCTTAAACATCTACAGGTCTGTTACCACCACCCCTGAGGTGCAGGTCAGGTTTGTGGGAGGAAAACAAGTTAATGCCTGGCTTCCACGCAAGAAGTACAATCTAGGGTGCAAGTGCACACATTCGATGTTGTTAGTTGCCATGCAGCCAGTTCTGACTACGGTCCCATACCATCTTCATGATCATTGGTATGTTTGAGTCCATTGCTGGGCCACTGTGTATTTTGAGCACCTTCCAACCAAGGGGCTCATCTTCCGGCACTATACCAGACAATGTTGTGTTGTGATCCATAGGGTCTTCATTGGCTGGTTTTCAGATCACCAGGCCTTTCTTCCTAATCTTAGTGTGGAAGCTCCGCTGAAACCTGTCCACCATGTGTCTTAGTTATCCAGTGCTGCTATAACAGAAATGCCACAAGTGGACAGCTTTAACAAAGAGAAATTTATTTTCTCATAGTTTAGGAGGCTAGAAGTCCAAATTCAGTGTGCCAGCTCCAGGGGAAGGCTTTCTCTCTCTGATGGCTCTGGGGGAAGGTCCTTGTCATCAATCTTCCCCTGGTCTAGGAGCTTCTCAGCACAGGGACCCTGGGTCCAAAGAACGCACTCCACTCCTGGCTTCTCTTTCTTGGTGGTATGAGGTCCCCATGTCTCTCTGCTCACTTCTCTTTTATATCTCAAAAGAGATGGACTCAAGATAACAACCTAATCCTGTAGACTGTGTTCTGCCTCATTAACATAACTGCCTCTAACATCATAGAGATTAGGATTTATACCACATAGGATAATTACATCAGCTCACAAAATGGTGGACAACCACACAATACTGGGAATCATGGCCTAACCAAGCTGACACACATTTCTGGGGGACACAATTCAATCCATAACACTGGGTGACCCTGCTGGTATTTGAAATACCGGTGGCATAGCTTCCAGTATCATAGCAATGCTCCCCTGAAAAGGAAGTGTTAGGATTTGGGGGCCACACAAGTGACCTACGCCTGTGGCCTCTTGGTCAGCTGGCCGACTGTTAGGTTCTGTTCAGTTGGAGTAGCTGAGTATTTTTGGAGGTGTGGTCTGTGGGCAGGTCACCTGACCTGTTTGCCCAGCTGGCCAGCTGGGTAGTGTGCTTCCGCCCACACTGGGACCCAGAGTGGGGGTGGGGAAGATGCTGGAGGCATTGTCACGTGCTAGGTGTGGGAGATGCTCCCCCAGGCAGACTTCTTGGTAAGGCCAAGGGGGTGGCAATTGAATTATGGTCAGAGCTGCTTGGCTGGAGATGGCAGGCCCCCAGTCAGTTAAATTTAAGGTGTTTTCAACTGGTTGGGAGAACTGAGTGTCCCGGCATCCTCCTTCTGGCAGAAAGCTTCAGGAGCACTTCTGAAAGACAAAGACCCTAACCTCCAGGGTCTAAGGGCCTGGGCTGTGGCTCTCCCTACCCTCCCACAAAGCTGGTGTGTCCCATGCCAGCAGTATTATAAAAAAAACCTGGAAAAACGGTTGCTGCTGAGTCGATGCTAAATCATGACGACCCCAACTCATAGCGCCTCTGTGTGTGCCAGAGGAGAACTGTGCTCCATAAGGTCTTCAGTGGCTGATTTTTAGGAAGTAGATGACAAGGCCTTTCTTCTGAGGCACCTCCAATCTCCAACCTTTTGGAGTCCCAGGGACTCTGTCCAGTAGTATTTAACGTCACCTCTTCTGCAATCATCCCCTACTCGCTCACGCCCAATCCATTAGTCCAGAAGGGTCAGGTGCAAAAGGGCCAAGGGCATCTTCACGAAATGTACGGAGACTTGTTATGTCTCCCACTTTGGCCTTTAGGGGCCCCTGCCTGGGAGTTGGCGAGCAGTGCACTCAACCACGTG